TTAAACCTGATCCAGAACAAAATCCTGCCGTTTAAACCTGATCCAGAACAAAATCCTGCAGATTAAACCTGATCCAGAACAAAACCCTGCAGATTCAGTTCCTTCACAAACTGCACTCTGCCGAGGAACAGTGACACCAACAACAAACAAAACAACACCTGTAGTCAGTTTTGTCAACCTGCATGTAATTATTAAAAAATAATTTACAGGTTCCTACCATGGTGTCACAATTTCTACACTTCATAACTTTTATTCTCCACAATCCTCTTGGAATAGCATCCATCTCCTTCTCCCCTTGTTTTCCACTGTTCCTTGCCCGACACTTATTTTAACAATTTCACTTTACAGAAAATGTGTTTCTTGACTTCTTTCTCCTTCAAGATATTTGTTCTCCGTGTCACCATCAGTTGGACTCTTCAAATCTCTGAATGTGACGACAGCTGCTCTGTTCAAACGTTGACGCAGCGCTAAGCTAGCAGCGCGCAATACAGATACACTAGCTAAGATGCTACATACATAGAACTCTAAGCGCATCCTAACCGCACCCCCCCCCCCCCCCAGTCAACAACGTCAACAGCGAATTTCATCAAAACAACAACAAGGAGCTGACAGCTCTCCTCACCAGCTGCAGCCGTTGGAGAAGAGAAACCTCCGAACGACGGAGCGCTGCTTGTCCCGTTGGTCAGACCTCCAAAACCCTTGAAGCCTCCGGCGTTCCCAAACCCGGAGAACGGAGTCGGACTGGCTGCCGCAGCCGTTAGAGAGAACCCTCTGAATCCTCTGAAAGCTCCGCCCCCTTCGCTCTGAAACAGAACAAAGAAACAAAAACGGTTTCATGGCGAACCTGACGACAGGTCCAGGTGACGGTTCGGTCCTTACCTCGCCTCCTGTGTTTCTGCGCTTGGCTTTCTTTATCGCTCGACTCTTCAAAACATTGTCACTCGCCAATGAAAACGTCCCGGCCTGAACACAGACAGAGGGTCAAAGGTCAGAGGTCACCCTCACCTAAAGACAAACAAACTAAGGTTCTGGTCTCACCTCCTCTCCCTCTTCCTCCTGGTCCCAGTTCCTGTCCGTCAGCTCTTTATCAGCGATCCTCTTCGCCATCCCACCTGGACCAATCAGCAGCTTTATTCAGCTCAAACAGCCAATCAGCAGCTTTAATCAGCTCAAACAGCCAATCAGCAGCTTCAATCAGCTCAAACAGCCAATCAGCAGCTGGAGGAGGCCGAAAAGACTCAGCCCAACGTCTCTGTGAAAGTGAGCATCAAGCAGAGCTTCAGCTGAATATTTATCAAAGCATGTAAAAGTTAATGTAAAGGTCTAATTTCATGGGTTTCATCCCTACAAAGGACAAAAATTATTTTAAATCTGATCTGTTATGTTGAACTAAGTTCTAAGTAAGTTCTAGTAATAATCTAAAAAAGTTCAATCTGGTCCTCTGGACATTCAAAAAAACAAAACAAAAAAATGTAGAAACGTTTTGTCTCTCATCCTGAGGACTTCCTCAGTCTGAGGTGCTGTATTCAGCTCAGTCTCTTAAATAGCACCTTCTCAGAGTGGATCAACCAGTTTGCTGCTGACAACCAAAACCAGCTGATCACATGATCAAGAAGGACCATCAGCCTAACAATGGATCATTAGCACCTGATGGCTGTTTACTGTTCACAGAGGGCTGAGTGATACTAGCAATCACAGCATTGTAAGAGGGGGACAGTTGAACCTGGAGGCTCCACCCCTGTTTAATGATGGACGGTTTCTTTTCACAAAGATGGCCTCCTTTACTCCTCTCTCAAACCATCGTTCCTCTCTGTCCAGGATGTGCACATCTTCATCCCTGAAAGAGTGACCGCTGGCCTGGAGATGAGTGTAGACCTCAGAGTCCTGGCCTGATGATGTTGATCTTCTGTGCTGGTCCATCCTTTTGGCCAGTGGCTGTTTAGTTTCCCCGATGTAAGACTGATCACCCTCCTGACACTGAACAGCATACACAACATTACTCTGTTTGTGCCGGGGGACTGGATCTTTGGGATGAACCAGTCTTTAATGTATTTTGGGGTTTAAAAGCCACTGGGACGTTATGTTTAGAAAATAAACGTCTCAGTTTCTCCGATACTCCCTCAACATATGGAATGACCACTGGTCTGGGTTCCTCCTTTTCACCTGATGGCTGACTGGAGTCCTGTTTGGGTTTCTTCTCTGCTTTCAGGAAGGCCCAGTTAGGATATCCACATTGCTCTAGAGCCTGTCTTGTGTAGGATTTCTGCTTCTGCCTGGCTCCTGAGCTAGTGGGGACGCTGTCTGCTCTGTGGTACAGAGTCCTGATGACTCCTAACTTGTGCTCCAAAGGGTGATGGGAGTCCAACTGCAAATACTGGTCTGTGTGGGTGGGTTTGTGGTACACCTCGGTTTGCAAATGTCCTCTATCAGAGACTGAGACCTCACAGTCCAGTCTTTCAGATGAGAGACGAAACGTGTCTACATTTTTTTGCTTTGTTTAGTTTTTTGAATGTCCAGAGGACCAGATTGAACTTTTTTGGATTTTTCCACCTGGATTATTGAGCAGCATCAGGATATTCTAGTAATAAAGTTACTTTGTTAAATTTACAGTTGGTGTCCTCTTCAGTATAGTCTCACGACACAAACCTCTTAATAATTAACATTTAAAGGTGATGAAAGCAACCTGGTTGTCATGACGACCATGAACCCTCTTAACTGAGGCTGCAGTCCCAGTGCATGCTGGGAAAGATTCCAACACATCCACATGTAAAAAGAAACTTCTGGACATTAACCGCCTCTTTTTTTAAATCAACTAAAATCGGTTAAGTTTTTTTTTTAAATATTGTTAGTTTAACCTCATAAGATTCACACATTTTCATCAGATGGTTCTGTTGTACAATAAGTGCTTTGTAACTCAAGAGTTTTGTTTTCTGGCTGCAGAAAAAGCATACTACTTAAATAATCAGTTGTTTTTGAAAACATCCATTTTAATTCCGGGTAAAAGAAAAATTAAACGTTTGAAACGTTTTCCGGCCTTTCACCCCAAGTCTTAATATAATTAGTCTAATTTGCTGCAACGACAAAACTTTTGATTTTTGACTCAAAACTTGATCAGACATGTTCAGGACAGTGATTTACATCCCTCACAAATTTAAGCATGAATTAAATATGTTCCTAGTTGGATGAAAACCGATATGTAGGCAGACAAACTAAAGACATGAATCAGCAGGTTGTACATTTTTAGGCGCTAGCTAGCTGCTACTAGCTAACAGTTAATAAACAGTTACACAACTTGTTTCCTGACTGAGAACAGATGACAGCTTAAACACACAAAATATATACATTTTAGAAGCTACAATAGCTAACTTTTACCAACAGACGTTGTCTAAAGCGGCTAACGTGTCCGCGTTAACCGGTAAGCTAAACACCGGTTAGCGCTTCTTGACCGGGCCGCATGTTAGCAGCTAACAGCCGGGTTTAGAAGTCGCATGTCCGTTTAAAAACACCTGACGCACCTTTATTTGAAGGTTTGTTCCGGGCTCTGCCTCCGAGTGTTCGTCCTGAAAGATCCAGATTATAAAAAACCGTCCGGTTATTCTGAACACCTTCAGCAGAACCACCGCTCGTTAGCAAACCGCCTCACGCCGCCATTCGACACAACGCTGTTTTCCGCCTAGCTCTCAGCGCCCCGCCTTTTGCGCATGCGCAGAACGAAATAAGCTAGCACCTCGGGATTTGTAGTCCATAATAAAATAACCGGATCGAAATTGTGTACTCAAGGTCCCAGTTACACCCAAAAATAGCAAAAATATAAAGTATAAGAGAGTATAAAAAGATCTAAGATAAACGCTAAATGAAAGCTAAAACAATACACTAAAAGATCCAAGATATACATTAAACACTAATAATGTAAAATAATACGGTATATTCAACAGCAGCCCAAACAAGAAAAGCCTTTAAAAAATAATCATTTACCACAATTAAAACATTAAAATAATTCTCAGCTTTATATTAACATTTATTTATAAAAACAAAAGCAAGAGTGCAGTTCTGCGGTGGTTCTGGTCTTGAACCACCTGAACAAAGTCTCCTGAAGTTCAGAGACAAAAACAGACTCAGCTCAGCCACAGCAGTAGGAAAATCCAAGGACATCGTTCCCACTGTAAAGCACGGTGGTGGCAGCATCATGCTCTGTCTGACAGCACAAAGACATAAACTCAACAAGCCTAATGGTGCTGACACATAAGTCTCATTGGTTCTGCAGCATGGCACCAGTTAAGGCCCGCCTACTGCAGGTATCAGAAACGGGTAATGGTACCACCTTGTTGGTGGTTCTGCTCCGAGGGCTGATTTAGACGTAAGCAGCAGCCGTTGATTGGTCAGCAGAGCTACGTCACTGGATGACCCGCCCAGCAACTAACCATCAGAACCTCCACTTCCTGTCTCGTCGTTACAGAAGGCAGAGTAGTTTGTTTTTTCCAGATTTCAATAATGGAAGATCCAAAAGTGGTGCCATGGACCACTGACGAGGTCCAGACCTTTGTTGGTGGACCAGAGGATTCCGGTTATGATCCCACCCACAGAGCGAGGAGACAAGTCGCTGTGGACGTTCACCGACACCTGAGAAGAACCGAGGAGACGAGAGCCAGAGTCAGACTTATCAATGGCAAAGCAGCTTGAAAGCCCGGTTCTGTGAAGGTCTGGGCTGTCCAAACCCAAACGTGTGATGGGGATAATCCTGTACTGTTGGACACCTGAAGACAAAAACACCTGAAGACCTTCAGTTAGGGGGCTGGTCTCCAAGCTTCCAGGAGGCGGCTCAGTGGAGGAGAGTCCTGACCAGCTGCTGAGGAGATGAGGCCCATATGACGAGCAGAACCTGTTCTTAGGCCCACATGGGACCTCTTTCATCAGAACCTGCTTCAAACACGTCCGGCTCTGGTCCTCACTGAGCTGGCTCTGTGTCCAGGTTCACCCTGAGAAACACGATTCTGACCAATCAGAACAGAACCTTCCAGAACTGAGGAGGACGCTGAGGAACTGGTCTCAAGGAGACGAGAGAGACAACAGCTAAAACCTGCTGAAACACAGCTAAAGAACTTCATCCATCCTTCATTCATCATAAAACCTCCATCCATCCATTATCCATCTTTCATCCATCCTTCATCCTTTATTCATCCTTCAGCCATCTATCTTAAAACCTTCATCCTTCCTTCATAAAACCTTCATCCATCCATCATCCTTCCATCATACACAATTCATCAATCCGTCATCCATCTGTCATCCATCATCCATCTTTCATCCTTCCTTCATAAAACCTTCATCATCCATCATCCATCCTTCATACATTCATGCTTCATCCATCATCCATCCATCATTCATCCATCACTCATTCATTATCCATCTTTCACGCATCCTTCATCCATCTTCAAGGATTCAAGGTTCTTTATTTGTCATTCCACCACATGTGGTGCATGTGGTGGAATGAAATTATGTCCACAGGGTCCCAGTTACATCCAACAAAAGTATAAAATGTAAAAGCAAAACATCCTGATGCATGCTCAATAATCCAGGTAGAAAAATCCAAAAAAGTTCAATCTGGTCCTCTGGACATTCAAAAAGACAAAAAACAAAACAAAGCAAAAAAATATATAGAAACGTTTCGTCTCTCATCCTGAGGACTTCCTCAGTCTGAGGTGCTGTTTTCAGCTCAGTCTCTTAAATAGCACCATCTCCTACACCTAAAAGCAAAACAGTTATAAGATATGAACAAAAAAATCAACTAAAAATACACTAAGCACTAATAGCACAAAAACAATTCACCGAGCAGCAGCACGAACATGAGTCTGTGTGAGCAGATGAGCACGAATGAACACAGCAACATGACACAGATCAGCAGCAACATGAAACAGATCAGCAGCAACATGAAACGGATCAGCAGCAACATGAAACAGATCAGCAGCAACATGAAACAGATCAGCAGCAACATGAAACAGATCAGCAGCAACATGATGTGTTTATTCACAGTGATTCTCCTGGTCAGAGATTCATGAGACTAACAGCCTCAGGGTAGAAGCTGTTCCTCAGTCTAGTGGTTCTACACTTAATGCTCCTTAACCTCCTTCCTGAGGGGAGTGGGACAAAAAGTGTGTGTGCTGGGTGAGTGTGGTCCTTCATGATGCAGGTGGCCCTCTTCCTGCATCTGGAGGTGTAGATGTCTGTGATGGTGGGGAGACTGACTCCAACATCTTCTGTGCAGCCTTCACCACTCTCTGCAAAGCTTTTCTTTCTGCAGCTGTGCAGCCTCCATGCCACACGTTGATGCTGGAGCACAGGATGCTCTCCACTGCACACCTGTAGAAGGAGGTGAGGACTGAGCTTCCAGACCAGCTCGTCTCAGCCGTCTGAGGAAGTAGAGTCTCTGATGATCTTTCTTCATCAGGCTGGTGGTGTTGTTGCTCCAGCTGAGGTTGTTGTTCAGGTGCACACCCAAGTACTTGTAGCTGGAGACCACTTCCACTACAGATCCTCTTATGTTTGGGGTGGGGGGGGGAGGTGTTTTTGTTCCTTCTGAAGTCCATGACCATCTCCTTTGTCTTCTTCACATTGATGTGAAGGTTATTCTCTTTGCACCAGCTCTCCAGGTGTTCCACCTCTTGCCTGTAGCTGGACTCATCATTGTTTGTGATGCATCCCACCACCGCTGTATCATCTGCAAACTTTACAATGTGACAGCTTGGATGGGTAGCTGCACAATCGTTTGTGAGGAGAGTGAACAGGAGGGGGCTCAACACACATCCCTGAGGAGAGCCAGTGCTGAGGGTTATGGTGGAGGAGGAGAAGTTGTGGATCTTCACTGACTGTGGTCTGTTTGTTAAGAAGTCCATGGACCCAGTTGCAAATGGAGGGGCTTAGTCCTAGTGTGGATAGTTTGTCCATCAGGGTTTTATCCATCATCCATCCTTCATCCATCACTCATTCATCATCCATCCTTCAGCTATCCTTCATCCATCCTTCATAAAACCTTGATCCATAATCCATCCATCATCAATTCATCATCTATCCTTCATCCATCCTTCATCCATTCATCACTCATCCATCCTTCATCCATCATCATAAAACCTTCATTCATCCTTCATCCATCCATCATCTATCCTTCATAATACCTTCATCCATCTGTCGTCCTTCATCCATCATCCATCCATCATCCGTCATTCACTTAAATTTTATCCATCATCCATCCTTCACCCATTCATTTATTCATCCATCCATCATCCATCCATCATCAATTCATCATCCATCCTTCATCCATCCTTCATCCATCCATCATCCATCATTCACCTAAATTTTATCCATCATCCATACTTCACCCATTCATTTATTCATCCATCCATCATTCATCCATCATCCATCCATCCATCCATACATCCATACATCATCCATCCATACATCCACCTGTAGATGTGACCCCAGATGTGACTTCATTTCCTCTCCACCTTTCATTCATTCATTCATTCATTGTGCGGTGGTGGTACAGCCCTCAGATCAGTTTTCTGATTCCTCAGCAGAGGTTCTGCTCTCAGATGAATGAAATGTGATTTTAAATGGTTCTGATCCGACTGTTTCTTTATTTAATGCAACACTTGAGTCGTATCATCTCTAATCACGGCTCAGCTCACACGTTCACGTCTCAATTAGGCCCTTAAACCAAGCTCTAATTGGATCACTTAATTACCGGGTCATGTGTACACTAATTAGAGCAACTGAAGCAGAACCGAAGCGTCCTGATGACCTCAGATATTATAAAAAGAATAATTAACAATAACTAATACATGTGTTTACCCTGTCTCTACTTCATGTTATTTATTATTTACTGGTGTAATAAACAGCTAGAACCAACTAAATATTACTAGAAATCATTTGTTTTTTAATCTGACTCTTTGAAGTTTCATAACATATTTAATTAAAAAGAAAAATGACAAAAAATAATTAAAATCTAATTATTATTTAAAAAAATACCTAAATGGCATAAAAACTAGTGACAGACATAAAAAAAAATCAATTAAAACAGACCTTTCAAATAAAATTAGGCTGAAACTAGCTGAACAATGAAAACAGCTAAGCAAAAAAGAAAACAGTAGCTAGAAGCTAAAATCAGCAAAACATTAGCTGGAGGCTAACAGTCTTCAGACGTTCTGCTCTTTTAGCTGTTGACTCATTATGTTTGGCTGGTTCAGCTGATCGTTGCTTCAACTCTTGTTGTTTTGTAAAGTTTATATTTCTCCAAATATTAAACTTTATTCACAAATGTTTTTAATGAATTATTAAACTTTATTTACAAATGTTTTTAATGAATATATATCAGATCTCTTCAATTCCTTCAAAATCTTTGTTCTCTTTCAAACTTTCTTCAGCTGCTCATTCTGTTTTGACTTTCTTTTTGTTAATGTTAGCTTGGCTACTTTTAGCTTTTGCTACTGTTGTGCTAGTTTTAGCTTTTGGCTACAGTCGTTCTGCCTTAACTTGACTAAGAGACATAGAAAAAAAAAACATCAATGTGAGCAGTAAAGTAGGCGGGGCTTACAGAGCTGCGTCCCATGAGCAGACTCTGGTTCCACAAATAAAACATGTCAGCTCCTGTAAACTCATCTTTAGTTTTATACAGCAGGAGGAG